AATTGTGGTGCTGCAAATTGTACGCCGTTGTATTCATTGTAACATTTACGTATATACAGGATGTCTCAAAAATATGAGAACAGGAGGTAATTTTAAGCGATATTTTCTTTCGAAAAAATATTCGTTTTCGTTTTATCAACGAGTTATTAACAAAAAAAAAAAAAATTGGCCAATCATTGGAGCGCGTAGCCTAATCGAGTCACGACGGTAGCGATGGCTGTGAATCGCGCACCAGCAACGCGAACAAATTCGAGCAATATAAGAAAGTGTGTTTGAATATAAAAAATATTTTTTTATCTGATCAATGAAAAATTATATCGAGTTATATTAGCAATGAATGAATTGTGATATTTAATTTTCTTCGATATATGTCGGTTAGACTTGTTCGTGCTCGGCGACGGTACGTAGCCAACGCTAGCTCGACTATATGGGTTCCGTGATTGGCCAATGTTTTTTGTTAATAACTCGTTACAACAAAGTTGTAACGAGAATTTTTGCAAAGAAAAATGTTGCTTGAAATTACTTCAAGAATCTTTAATTAATGTTCCAATATTTTTGGAACACCCTGTACATGTTTGATTATTAAATCCAAATAGAGGAATTATTTAGTATGACTATTTCTATTATTTCTATCATAATTTCGTAATCTATCTTCATCATATGATTCAATTTAATTTATCTTTTAATATTCATTTTATAGTATTCTATATAATGTACAATTATAATTTATATATATAAAAAATGATACGTAAAATAAAATCTCGTCCACGTATCACAATGTTAATAACAATTTTCGATAATAAAATTTTAAATTTGAAATATAAATGGATAACGAATAACAATTAGATTTGAAAATTTGAAAATTGAAGAAATAAAATTGAAAATTTCTTGAAAAATTAAAATATTTTGAATTTTGTATTAAGGTTATTGGCATAAGAATCAAGAAGATCGATGTATAAATACGTAACAATCAATTATTAAAAGTGATTAACGAATCTTTCTCCTCAGAGAACTCTGGAGAATTCCGTCTAGACAATAGTCTACTTCATGTAAATGAGTGGCATTCATAGCGATAAATTCTTTTTTTTTTTTTTTTTTTTTTTTTTTTTCACTTCTATCATATCGCCACGATTCTTCCTATATATCCATTTCGTTCTTTCCAAAGCGAATAACACTTTCAGCAATCTCGATGGAACTTCACCGACACTTGACCTATTTAAGTGTGGTATTAAGTTTATCGAGGAACAAATAACTTGTATTATACAAGCGATACGTGGAAAAAGAATAGCGGATAACGAATTATAAAACAAAAAAGAAACTGTATTACGAATGTGTACATTTACATGTGACACATTAACCGTATAATAACACATTTTTTGGTTCAATGAATGACATATCGTGAATACGTGTCTTACGTATATGTTTATTACGTCGTGCAAAAAATTCTAAAAAATAAATTCATTGGCATGCTTTCAAGTATTAACGTTTATATTAACGATTCTTCACTTGTTCTAGATGATTGCATAGGTTTTGTAAAGTGATTGAATTTCTGTTAGTCTACAATAAAAAAAAAATAACTTGTATAGAAGATAATTTATGATTCATTGATTTCGATAATTTTGTAATATGTTACAGAGAAAAAGATTTTTAATTTACAAAAAGAAAAAATAATTATACAGAAAATACAAGATTCTTTGCAAATTTAGAAAAAAAAATAATTTAAATTTAAATTTTTCAACAACATATTTCAACAAAAAAAGAAGTTATATAAATTCATCCTTCGTTCAAAGACTTTGAATCACAATAACGAAAATATTCTATTGAAATAATAAACAATTCCAGTGTATTATTGAAAGGTCATTTATCACGATATATCTCGAATTATCTGATTATCACAAGTAGAATCAAGTACTCACGACATAAGAAAGATAAAAAAAAAAAAAAAAGAATTTCAAAACTACGTAACACTTATTCCTAAATTCTGATAATCGTCCAGACAACCGAGATGGTTTCGCAAATACACGAACCGTGTAATATCGATCGTAGACCGATAAGTAAATACTCGTCGGGATAGATATTTTCTCCATTTCCATCGAGAAAAATATTTTCAAACGATTCGGAAATTTGCAGGATGCCGCGACAGCCACTCCTTGAATCTTGAAATCCGAGGAAAGGGAGGTCGAAGGAGGAATGCGTGCCCTTGGAAATTCCCTTTCTTCACGATTCGAACGATAATAATTTTTCCAAGTATTATATACCAATTCTGCAAGGAACAATCTTATTTATCTATATATATATATATATACATATATATCGAGAACGAATTGAAATTGATAGAAAGAGGGATGGAGGCTATCTTCGAGGATTAGGTCCTGCTACGAGGCAAAAGAAAAATATTGGCGGCGAGGGTTGCCTGTATACGTCAACAAAAGCGGCGGCTGACTGCCGATCGACTTTCAGAGCTGTTTCCGTGTAAGCTTGGCGAAGGCCCCCTTGGGACACCGAGTGCACTCGAACGTCGATCTCCCATTCGATTTATTCTGTCTCGAAATGTGTATTGGTATACAGTAGTCCACCTCCGAGTGCCGTTCACTTGGATTCGTCGGAAGAGAATTTTTTCGAATGCGAAGTATTAACGTATAGTTAAGTCGTGGAAAGTATGGAAGCGTTTCGATTGGTTGGTTCTTGTCTAAGTATGTAAGGATAGAGCGGAACGTTATTGGGTAAAAGGTATTTAGAATTTTTATATGAAAAAAAAAAGGATATTTCTTTCGTTTTTGATTCTAAAAAATATAAAAATTATGAAGTAAATAAGTATTATTATATTTATACTATAAAAATTGATTGATACAAAAATATCGATTGAATTAAAAATAATTTAATGAACAAATTTCAATGGATATTTTTGTATATCAATTTTAATTGTATGTATCAATTTGAGAAACAAAATTATTGAAATAATCAATTTGAGAATTTCTATATGATTCTGTTCATTGATCATTTTTAAAATTGGATAAGAAATACTATTGATTGTAATGAATTTTAATCAATTTAATGTTTCTTGATCTTCTTAAAAACGAAATTTTAAACAAATAAATTTTAATTCATATTTATTACTTATTATACGTACTATAATATTTTATTAATAATTTAATCTTGATAAATTTTCAATTTTAATTTTTTTTGAAAGCAAAGCCTCAAACGAAAAAAAATGTTACTTTTTTTTTCCAACTTATGTTTATATTTAAAATCATCCTTTATACGCGAAAGAAAATTTAATTTTATTAAGAGCATAGTGTTTTTCGAGAGATAAGTTCTATTCGAAATTTAACTTCATGTGTCAAATTTATTTTAAAATAATTTATGCAATAAATATATAATATCTTAGATAAAATAGTATTACGTATAATTGTTGATTGATCGATAAAATTCTTATCGATTCAGTTGAAGGTTATCAAGTGGTATTAAAAAAGGAGAACGCATGTTAATATATACACATACATATGTATGTATGAATAAAAAAGTAGAATTTCAAGTAAGAAACTGAGAATCGAAGACGAATGGCAAAAATTTGTAATAATAATAAAACATATGTATGTATATCTTAAAACGATTAAATTATGTAAAATTAAAAAAAAAGGGAATAATAGTAATATAGCAAGTATAATATTGAAAAATTATAAAGGAGAAGAGAAATAATAAAAAAAATAAATGGTCCATTATTTTTGAATAGTTACCAGTTTACCGAGAGAATTACGAAAATGAATAGTACGAAAAAGAACGTAATTTGACGAAACGAAAAAACCCCATAATGGAACATTGCGTATCAAAACGATAACCATCACGTTATGGAACTCGTTAATAACGTCACGTTACCCTGCAATTTACATGCAAATGTCTCGATACAAGGCAGAAAAATCTTTTTTACTCTTTTACTTGAATAATTTCACTTGAAATTTATATCGGTTTAATTCTTGCAACTTTCAAAATATAAGTAAGATTCGAATAAATCAGGTCGATTTCTAAAATTTTTATCTTAAACAAAAATATTATCATTATTATCGATTTATATATATATTTTTAATGAAATTCTACGACAAATATTATGTATATTATGTATGAGACAGAATTCCCTCTGGGACCATGCTACGTTACGCTCCTGTACCTTAAACTCATCTCTCATGCTTATGCCACCACCTTTAGTCGCATGGTATAAACAGAGGATGTGTGCTATGTTATAAGAGTTTCTATTTACGTTTACCCTCGGTGTAGAGGTACCGGCTCGATCGATTTTTCGATTGGGTCGCCGTGAAATATTCGGCAATGTTTAGTTTTGTCAACCAATATGCCTCGATATGGCCATTGAAATTCGAGCGAAACGTTGAAATTTCCCAGACGCATGATCTTATCGTTTTTAACGCCTCGTGGCATGTTTCATCGAGGTCGTCGTGCTTCCGAGGTTAAGTTCGACTGATATTCTCTGTGTCTTTCCTCTCAATACGAAACGAACATACGAAATCGTACCAACATGGCTTTCGATTCTTCTAAATTATTGTATTAATATAATAGTATTTGATATTCAACTCAAAAAATGCGGTTAATTATCATGTTTTGATTATGTATGATTGACAATTGACGGATTAGTATAGATTTTCCGATTTATATCTCAATAGTATGCATCCAACAAAGTGCCAGGCATTTTCTAGGACTTCCTTATTTCTTCCGCATATTAAGCGGTCAAAGTCTTCAGAAGTTGAAAGATTCTTTTCTCGATTAGACGTTTTGTTGATTCAATCCGTTTAAAATGTAATTGACATATCAGAATGCAAGATAATAATGATATCTTGAAATAAGTGCTTTCATAGTTTTGAACAATTAGCTGTTGATTTATTGCTACCAATATTTGTTTTAATCGATACAAGTATGATCAAATACAATCTTATTCTATAATATAAATTTTAAAATAATTTGAGATTAAAATTTTTTTTTATTTATTTCAGAAGTCACAAAAAATGGCTTTAATATGGTACATTGGGATTATCACAATCCTAGGTATGTTGGAATAGTTTTTTATAAATGATATTATAAATAAAACTATAAAAGAATCTTAATTTTTTTATATTATACTATACAACAATTATTAATATTTTAGTTATAGACAAAACACAGGCAGATTTTAAGGTTTCAACTCAAGATCTAACTGTTCATTTAAATAGTCAAGAATCATTTGATTTGTACCTGACGTAAGTATTTTTGCATATAATAAATAAGCATATAACAACTAACTTTATCTAACAATAAATATAAAATATAACATGTTTACTGAATAAAGTATAAAGACTCTATTGTTCACTATATAATCTGTATATTATTTATTTATATTATTTTTACATGCAATTGTTAATTCCATTGCTTTCATTATATCTTAATTTTAAAATATTCTTTCTAAAATATCATTTCAATTGATCGTTATGTTATATTTAAAAATATTTTATCTAAAACAATAACATTGATAATATTTTATAATAATATATATAAAATAATAACATTTTAATTATTATCTTATAAACTATGATAAATTAAGATAAATGTTTTCTATGTTTTTTAATGCTTTAAACTAAATAAGAGATATATAATTATAATAACAATTATAATAACAATAAAATAATTATTTTTTATAGGGAAATGTTATCTGAAGATGTAGTTGTAAAATTCGAAGTGCAACATCAAGATTTAATTCGTATAAATCCAGACGAATTAAAAATTAATAAAATTGATATACAAAAGAATTGGTCTATAAGTGTAAAAGGTCTCAATGCAGGACATTCAATTGTTAGTGTTAATGTCATACCTAACAATGTTTTAAAGTATGTATACTCTTCTTTTACTTCTCCATAATAATAAAATATTTTTAAAAATTAAATTATTTAATTTATATTTTTTTGATTTGTAAATATATCATAAAGCAATACATATGAGAAAATTAATTTCTTTAATATTAAATGTTTGATTTTTTTATTTGAAATAATATAAATATTTATTTTTATGATTAAGATTTCAAAAGATTTTAATCAATATTACATTTATTAGTACTCAGTGGTTCGCAGAGATAGCCTTTTGACCTATACTTGTCATTAGCTCTTCTATTGAAAGTTCAGTCAGTTTGTGTTCATCTGTTCTGACTAGAACATGATACATTAGCTATTCATAACAAAAGTATTAATTTATTTATTTTTCAAATTTTACTTTAATTTAATGCATTTATTTCTATTAATTCTCATTTAAATATTTAACTTGCAAAGTATATTAAATCAAAATAAACTTTAAAAGTTGACATTATAATAATGACACTTTTTAAAGTGATTTTAATACCTCAAGATCAATTAAACAAAATTAATTTGAAGTAAGATTATAAATTTATTGTAATTTATTTTTCAAATTGTTTTATAAAGTTTGTGTGAAATAAATCACAATACTTAATTTTTTATATTTTCATAGTTTTTCAGATGCATTTGTTAGAGTGACAGTTGAAAAATCAGATATACTTTATCACATAAGTATTGTGGTAGGATGGTTTTACTTTTTAGCTTGGAGTGTGAGTTTTTATCCACAAATATACAGTAATTACAAACGCAAAAGTGTTGTAGGATTAAATTTTGATTATTTATCATTAAACTTAGTTGGTTTTATTATGTATGCACTTTTCAATTGTGGTCTGTTTTGGATACCAATAGTTGAGGTAAATTAATAAAGTGTAACAAATGCAATTGATCATGATTTTTTATCATAGGTTAATCTAATAATTATATTTTATAGCTTGAATATTTTAAAAGATATCCAAAAGGTTTAAATCCTGTACAAGTGAATGATATTTTTTTCGCATTGCATGCAACATTTGCGACTGTGATAACTATTATTCAATGCTTTATTTATGAGGTAATTGATTAAAATTTATTACGATTATTTTATAATTTTAAAAATTTTTTTACAAAATAATGAAAATATTATTTTTTTAGATAGGAAATCAAAGAGTATCTACTACAGCACGTATTATTCATGGAATATTTATAGTTTTTATTTTAATTTCTATAACATTAGCTATAGCAAATGTAATAACGTGGCTTGATTTCCTATATTATTGTAGTTATGTTAAATTGAGTATAACGTTAATTAAATATGTTCCACAAGCATTTTATAATTATAAAAGAAAATCCACTGTTGGTTGGAGTATTGGCAATATATTTTTAGATTTTACTGGTGGTATGTTATCAATGTTGCAGATGATACTCAATGCATATAATTATGGTAATGTATATAAAATAAAATAAGAAATATATAAAAATAAAAAATAGTATTCAATGAAAAATATTTAATGAATTATAATTTCATTTTAGATGATTGGGAAAGTATTTTTGGAGATCCCACAAAATTTGGTTTGGGATTCTTTTCAGTAGCATTTGATATATTTTTTATCATACAACACTATGTTTTGTATAGGTATGTACATTTTTAAATATTTCCTCATCATAAATCATTTTTTAATTAGAAAGAATTTTAAATTTTTGTAGAATTAGAAATAATGCTTGTATTATTAAAAAAACTTAGTAACATTAACGATTTTAAAGAATACTAAAAGTTGCATGTTTGTTCTAATGCATTATTGAAATATTGATGAAAATTAGTCATTGGATTTATTGCATGTGTAAAAAGTAAATAACTTGCATGTTTCGTATATTTTATTCATTTAACTGTTTATATTTCATTATTTCATAACAAATTAAAATTGACTACATTTTAATATCTATAAACGTGATTAATAAAATTTATATTCAATATAGATAAATTCGGATGAATTTGATAGAAAATTTCATATGCACTACTTGTTACCTGCTTAAATCAATTCAATTCTTATACGTATGTACGTGCTTTTGCTAGTATGAATTGTAGATATGAGGCAGCAAAAAAATTTGTTTACAGATTTATCCATGAAAAGATGATTGACCTCAAACACAGAATATAAGAATCTTTCGTCGTCAATTTTATTTTAGAATCATTTCACAACCATACGCTTTTCCCTTCCAAGTTGCACGAGCTTGCAAAATCATAAATTCTTACAGAGTAGATAATGAGAATGCAAGAAGTATCGAAATACTGCATAAACAAGAGAATTCATATGACGAAGATTCGGGGCGATACCTGAAAGATACGTATTGTTGTGGTTTCCTAACTAGAATATCATAAACAAATATAATCTATGAAATTTCATTTCAATAGAAATGAAAATTCAAAGCTCAGTATTTAAAACATTTTAATACATATCGTTATCGTTATCGTATAACGTTAGATATACAAAATTTACATTCCATTCAAAATTTTGTAATATGTTTTTTTGTAAATGAGATTATTTTATTTTTAAATGTTCTAACGAATCTCAGTTGGTTGTTTATTATGCAATAAAAAAAATCCTTGCTTAATAGTTAGAACTGTATTAACATGCTATTATATATATATATATATATATAAAATATTATATATACATAAAATAGAAAATATTATTATTTTCTATTTTTCATTGAATAATTATAAATATTTATCCAAAATTTTTAAAAATTATTAAAAACTGTGATTATTCGTTGTTTTACATTTGTGTACTTATTTTGAAATTATAATAAAAATTATTTGCATGTTTTTGTGCATTTTAGTCTAATGATAAATTATATATTTAGTTTAATGAATATTTAGAAATCTATTATATTTCAAAATTAAACATTTTAAATTGTAGTTCGTATCTTGATGCTGCAATTAAAGCATGCAGCATGTTTTTTTTTAAATCTGTTTTATATCAAAGATAAATTGTAATAAAATATATGTGACTTTTTATACTTAATCATTGTAAAAAGTTTTTATAAATTCTATAATGATTTTCATTATAGTCGAATTTCTACAAAGCGAAACAATAAAATATTTTGCCATAATTGTTTTGGTATAAAAATATTGGCTTTAATATTTTTAAATCATAAGAAAATTAATATTTATATAAAAGATGTGTGACGATTTAAAGTATATCTGTTTTTTGCATGTGTGTGTATGTGCGTTGTGTGTATTTATGTGTGTGCGATATGTGTGTATGCATATGAGCGTATTTTATTGTATTAAATTTACTAACATCACTAATCAAACTAACATTGTTTTGCAATGAGCGAAAGCTGAGAAAAAAATAAATATCATAAATGTAGAATCATTCATTAGACAATTACATTTTTTTTTATTTATCCTTTTATTATAAAGAAAAGCTATATACAAAGCTATATTTAGTTTACTTTCCACAGGGATCGTAAAGAATATGTCGAAATACCTGGTAACAATTACGGAGAATCGCAAGAAAATGCATCAACTAGCAATATTGCTTAATTTTATGACACTAGTATCAACTACTTGCTTGTTTAGAATTACAATAAAGAATAATGTATTTATCTGTGATTCAAATGCGAAAATGAATAATGATCTTGATACCGATCTCATAATGCTTAATTTGAATACGTTAAATACAATTTTATTCTTACCATTATGTGATATTCATCCATAAAAATTGTAAAGCCATCCAATTATACAACGTAAAAGTTGCATCCACTTTGTTTAATCACTCATAAAGTCAAATAAGTCACTTTTTTTTTCAATAAAACTATCCATTTCACGCGCTTTGATTAAACGATATATGAACTAATAAAACCGCCAAGTTTTTACAATTAAAATAAATATCGATATTTCGATATTCGATTTTATGATACAGAGCCATCTATTGGTCACATAAAATGATACGTTCAGGTTATGCATGTATTGTACGAAGTTATTGATATTAATCCAAGAAAGAGGTAAGTCTAGTTTATTTTTAATTATGTAAATTTATAAAATATTATTATTAAATATTAAATAGAAAATGTAATATTAATGAATATTAATTTTGGTAATTATGATTCAAAAATGAATTTTAATCTTAATGTTGAATATAACCTCTTTTTATAGTTGTTCAATAATGCATATATTTGAATTATAAATTTTATTTATTATATCAATTTCTTAATACCAATTTTATTGATATTATAGTGATAGAAAAAATATATATTTAGTAATTCTTTAAATGTATATTCATATTTCAGAATGAATATATTTTCAATTCTACAACCAATGCAGAAAATATTATCACTTCATAGAAATCTTAATTGTTGGACAGCAGCAATAACAAAAAAGCATAGAAAACTATATTTAAATACTTTTCCAGTGTACCTTGTTTTACCAGATGGTAGTAGTATTAACATTGAGTATGAAGAACCAAGAAAAATAATTACTCTTCCTCTTAATCTTAATACTCTTTCTCAAGAAGAACGTCAAAGTAGATTGGAGAAACGTAAAAAAATAGTTAAGGTAAAGATAATTGAGGAATACCAAGATGAATTTGATGAAACTCAATTTTACAAATAATATATTGCATTATATCATTTAAAATATTATACTTTCATATATAAAATAAATTATTCAATTTTTTATGTTTTTTTAATTGTGAATAAATATAAATCTTAAACTAATCTTAAAATAATCTTGTTATAAGTGAACATATGTATACATAAGTGTTATTTAAAATAAAATGATAAGTATATTTAAAATCAATTATGTATTATATTTCTGTTTATTAATAATATGAAAAGAATATAAATATATGTAATAAATAATTTCAATGCATTAAATATAGCAAAAATAATTTCTGAAATAACTTTATTTTATTTGATAATGTGATAATAATATGATCTATTAACATTTTTTATAACATTGATTTAATATACATCCCACATATATAAAAGCTATTATAAATAATACATCCCACACATATAAAAACTATTATAAATATGATACAATTATCAATAGAACAGTGAAAGTAACTTATAGTCTTTTTTATAAACATTCAAATTCAATAAATATCTCAATCAATTTTTTTTTTTTTTTGCTTACATGTATTAAAACAATAGAAAAAAATTAAAGATATCAAAAAAATTATCCTATGCATTCACTATTCATAAAAACAAAAATTCAAATTAATTCATGAAATTATTGCATTGATTATTATTTTTGATTTGTTTTTTATCTTTACTAAATATTATTATGAGGTATTTAGTAAATTTTCTCTAGGTATTGTATCTAAATGTACATGTCTAATTTTGCTAACATTATGTTAATTATAAGTCATTATAAAAAAAAAGATCATAAATGTACCTTCTAGTAATACAAAAATGAAAATAAAATTTATAAATGTCATATCTCATTATTTAAAAAAATAAACAAAAATTATTAAGATTATTTATCATATTTTCTTAAAAATTAATTGTTGCTTTAAATTAATTTTGTTTTGAATGAGTTTGTTTTTAATGAAACAAAGATACTACAAATATAAAAAAAAAAATTATTTTTGTTACAATTTTGATATAAAGATACGAAATATAAATAAATATAAATAAAAATAAAAAAAAAAAGAATTTTGAAAGATATAATAGAAGTGATAAAACAAGTGAAAAAACAATTTGGTGCCTTTATTGCATCAATCTCAATTAATGATTATTTGCCAAATTGAGCTATTATTTATCATGGGAAAGAAGAGTCCAAGAGTTCACTTTCATTTTCTATACAATGATATAATATTTAATAATGCGCAGTTCGTATGTCATTGTGCGGATGCTTTCGATACTAGTGAAACTCCTCTATTGCGACAACCTAAGAAATTTAGCAGTTTTTATTAGGCAACGATATACAGTAACCATAAGGTGCTAGAACGCATTAAGAATTAAATAACAACGGTTTGCTGCACATCTAATAATTTCACGCGACAGGAAAATAAAATTACTTCTAAAAATATTCGAACAATGATATATTTTATATCTTTTTTATTATAAAATAACTATAACTATTTATCATAAAAATTTTGTAATTTTTGCAATATATTAAATTATAGCATATAAATATTAGAAAATAGAAAATTTTTGATGTATAAACAGTTGTTTAAATATTTAAAAATAAATAAAAAAAAAAAAATTTTATAAAAATTTTTTTATAAAAGATCCATTTAAGATGAATATTGAGATGAATATGAGATAAATTATGTGAAATTTTAAATTAAATGAATTTATTATTAAAATTTTATTATTATTAAAAAAGCTATTTTTTATTTTTTATTAAACAATTTTTCATTTTTTTTTTTATTTGATACTAGAACTATCAAATATAAGTTTCAGATTTTTTTATTTTATAATTATTGAAAAGGTATAGATTTTTTAAAAAAACTAATGTTTTATTTTATTGAAATAAAAATAGCTATTAAAATAATTATATAATTTATCTATTTTCATTATATTAGCTTAATTCTAATTATATAAAAAATATTTAACATTAGAAACCTATATCTCTAGAATTAATTATTGTTTTTTTTTATGGTTTATTTATTTTATGGTTTTTTATTTTTTTTATTATGCAAAGAATCATTTTTTTTAAATAAAATTTAAAATAATTTTATTTTAATAATAAAAATAATATATGATTATTTATGTTATTTTTTTTTAATTTGATTAAATACTTTAATAAATTTAAAATGCATTTTCCTTCGATCTTATAAATTAATCGCTGATTTGAATTAACTATCTGAATTAACTATCTATTTTTAACAATAATTATACATCATTTTCTTAAACAAAAGTTTTTCTTTTGTTTTGGAATATAGTCTTTCTCAAAAGTTTTCCTCTTTGTAGAAACAGAATTCTATTATTTAATATACAAAATTATTTTATTTTAAAATTAATAATATAAAAATGAAATAACATACTTGAAAAACAAAATCTATCTGAGTTTCGCGAACATCCCAAAGCAAATAATAAAAAAGCTCTTTGAATGTTCGTTGAAGCGATCAACTACGGAAAGCAAAGTTGTCATCGATGTCATCTTGATTAAATTGCGATGGAGGAAATGGTTGAACCATCGGTAGACATGGCGAATAAACACGTTTATAGCAGGTAAAGAGCCACGGTACACCATGGTGGGAGTCAGTTCTGTTATAGTAGGCCACGAGGTAGCAGCTCTGGTGTTCCTGCAGGTGTAGACTACCGATTGCACGAACTCTCTCTTAGTTTCTGCTGGCGCTTCAAGCCTCTCGTCTTGATGAACTGCGCCTTTCCGCGAAAACTCGAGATCGCTTCGAAAGCTCCGCGAGAACTCGATTGGACAATGAAAACGTGAAATTCGTGCAGTATCGTGCGATATATCGATAATCGAACGAGCCATTCGATACCTAGACAATTAATAATTTTATCGATTTCCATGCATCAGTTGTGTTCATCGAAAGATTAGCCGGTTGTATATTTGGTTATATTATTAATTCTGATTTTTAAATAGTGAACTATTAATATGGAACGATATTATACTTATCGAGTGTTCATTGATCGATAATGCTATTGAATCTTATTGTTAAGTGTTTGATTTATAGGCGATCGATAAATCATCGAGACAATATTTTTAAGTGGAATTGCAGAATACATGAGCTGTGTACTTGATTTTTGGTCGCCTGAGCGTTTAAAAGAACGTCGAGCCTTTAGAAGGAGAAAGCAGAAGAAATTGAACAGTTCAGCAGCTGAAAAAAATACCATCTTTCCTTGACAGTCATTGTTCGCCGAATTCAATAATTTTTTATTTTTTATATTACGAATAATTTTTCACGAAAAGAAAATTTTTTTAAATTAATGTTGCAATAAAAAATATTGAAAAATTATAATGAAATGTGAATCAAGTCGTAAAGGACAAAATAGAATATTTTTTTAATAATTAAGAAAAGGAAATCGATAGAAAGAAACGTAGAAGTATATTGATCGAGCGAATCACGACAGCTTCGATCGATCGTTTATTTTTTTTATTCGTACGTCAAACTTTTAACAATTTCGCCATTGTTTTTAATAATTTTTCGTTGGATATTGAAGCTGTCGAGAGTATGAAAGAACATTGGTCTTTATGAGTTTCAAAGTTTTTTGATGCAATCACAGTGAAACACGTGCTTTATTTGGATTTTTCAATTGGTATGTGGACGATGGACTTTTGAAAGAAAAAATCAAGCATTTCCTGCTGATCTACGAACGTGAGATGTTTAGCAAACTCCTATTGAGTTTTTGGATACTCAAATGCATCAGCCTTTATGGTATGTTTTTTAATTATTTTTAATATTTTTCAACTATAAATAATTAAATATAAAAATATAATTTTTAAATCAGATTTAATTCTTTAATATTTATATAACTGTATGAAACATATATTTACTTATATAATATTGATAAATTATATTGATATAAATAATTGATATAATAATTGATATATAATTGATATAAATAATGATATAAATATTGATATAAAAATCATATAAAAATAGTACTAACAATAATAATATTAATATTTAATTATTATTTATTTAAATACAACAATAAATTTTTTAATAATTACGAAATTTGATATCAATTCTTGGATCTAATTAATATTTAAATGTTATAATATAGTTTTTTATAACTATTATACATGTTTTAACATAAATTAGATAATTTTTGAATCCACAGCGATAATAAAAATAAATAATAATAATATATTAAATAATAATAATATAAATAAAAATAAATAATATTAATATTAATATTTACAGATTTTTTAATTTTTTTTTATTTTTAAATTAAAATAATTTTAATTTAAAAAAAATAAATATACACATATGTCAATAGCTATAAAAGTATTAATAATATTTAAAATTTATCATAGAAATTAAGTAAACACTTAACATTTAAGTGACTTACTTTTATTATTAACCATTTTTACATTCTCTCAACGTACGAATTTGTAAATTCCGTTGTACGAACCGTTAACGAATCGGGGACAATTATTTAATCATGTAATAGGACGCTGAGGTCACCAATGGTGATGTTTTAAATTTTAAACATGTTTCTTAACAGGCGTCTGATCATTAACATCACTTTTCACTTGTTTCGTTGAGCGAGATCCAATAAAAATTTTTATTCAAATCGAATTACATTTGTAATTCGTATCGCCAATTTATACAAGTAAAAATATCTCTTTTAACATTTTAATAAAAAAAAAAAAAATTTATTATTGAAATTATTGTTTATGAAAAAAATCTCTATAACTTATAAAATTTATATAATAGCTCGTAATTAAAAAAAATCGAAATGAAAAGAATCGCAATATTCTCGATTCATGATCGATTTCAATCGATAATCGATCGCGTGAAAATGATCCGGTGATCCGCGTCAGAGATAAAAATTAGCAGGTAGGAATTTCACGGGCGGATCGCGTCACGATGCGGTTATTTCAGAGTCAGTGAAAGCGACTCTTGTCACGGCACTGATATTATATACACGCATCGCGCAAGTTTCATTCGAGTTGTCTGAAAAAAAGTCGCGCCACAAAATTCGCGATTAAATTTCCCTGTTTCGATTATTTACGAACATTTGCCGCGTTAAATATGCGAAAGTGGTCTTCCATTTTTCGATGAATTTTTTT